AAATATAAATCCCTCTGTTTGGCACTTAAATCTCTTAAGAACCTGCCCCCATCCTTCCTGTGCAACCTTATTATATATTATTCTCTTCATACAGGCCTTCTTGCTTTTCTTGACATACATACATACATATATACATATATATATACACATACATACACACACACACATATATATACATACACACACATATATATACATATACACACACACATATACATACACACACATATATACATACACACACATATATATACATACATACACACACATATATATACATACACACACATATATACATACATACACACATACACATATATATATATACATGCACACACACACACACACATATATATATACATACATACACACACACACACACACACACACATATATATATGTAATACTCCATGATTTTGCATAAGTTGTTCATTTGTCTGGAAGACTCTCCTTCCCACTTGTTGTCTTCCTAGTTAGAATGAAACTGCCCTGGGGGGCAGGAAGTTTTTCACTTTTGAATCTGTGTCTCAAGCACCTAGTACCATGCCTGACACATATGGGCATTTAATAAATGCTTGTTGGAGGAACAGTTTACCTGTCAGATGCATGGAGAAGGGAAATGACCAAACAAGAGACAGAGAACATTATGGATAATTTTGATTACATTAAATTAAAAAGGTTTTGCACAAACAAAACAAATGCAATAAAGATTAGAAAGAAAGCAGAAAGATGGGAAACAATTTTTACAGCAAGTGATTCTGATAAAGGCTTCATTCCTAAAATGTATAGAGAACTAAGTCAAATTTACAAGAATAAATCCATTCTCCAATTGATAAATAGTCAAAGGATATGAACAGGCAGTTTTCAGATGACGAAATTAAAGCTACCTATACTCACATGAAAAAATGCTCTAAATCACTATTGATTAGAGAAACGCAAGTTAAAACAACCCTGAACTACTACCATACACCTATCAGATTGGCTAATATGACAGAAGAGGAAAATGATAAATGTTGGAGATGTGGGAAAATTGGGACACTAATGCATTGTTGGTAGAGTTGTGAACTGATCCAACCATTCTGGAGAGCAATTTGGAACTATACCCAAAAGGCAATCAAACTGTTGCATACCCTTTGATCCAATAATACCACTACTAGGTCTATATCCCAAAGAGATGATAAAAAAAGGGAAAAGGACCTACCTGTACAAAAATATTTATAGCATCTCTTTTTGTGGTGGCAAAAAACTGGAAATTGAAGTGATGCCCATCAATAGGGGAATGGCTAAACAAGCTGTGGTATATGAATGTAATGGAATACTACTGTGCTGTAAGAAATGACGAGCAGGCAGACTTCAGAAAAACCTGGTAAGACTTGTATGGTCTGATGCTGAGTGAAGTGAGCAGAACCAGGAATACATTGTACGCAGCAATATTGTGTGATGACCAACTATGATTGACTTAGCTCTTCTCAGCAATAAAATGATTCAATACAATTCCAAAAGACTCATGATAGAAAATGCTATCCACATTCAGAGAAAGAACTATGGAGTCTGAATGTAGACTGAAGCCTACTATTTTCACTTTTTTGGTTTTTTTGTGGCTTTCCTTTTTGTTGTTTCTTCTAACATAACCAATATGGAAATATGTTTACATGATTGTACATATATAACCTATTATTTGCTATCTTGGGGAGTGGGAGGAGAAGAAGGGAGGGAGAAAAAATTTGGAACTCAAAATCTTATTTAAAAAATGCTGAAAACTATCTTTATATGTAATTGAAAAAAATAAAATTGTATTTAAAAGAATTTTTTAAAATGCTTGTTGTTTGATTGAGTCAGGATTTAAGGATGATAGAATATGAGCTCCCAGAGGACAGATTTTACTTTTTTTATCTTTATATGCCCAACCTCTCTCTTATCTTAATATTGTTGAATTGAATTGAGTTGAGCTCTTTATAACCTGTTCCCTTCCTACCTTCTCAGTCTTCTTACTCGTTGCTCTCTTCCAGCAATACACAGGAATTCCCTCTCCCATGTCATTCCATACCAGGAATGCTGTCCCCTTGCTTAAAGTTCTTAGTTTTTGGTGGCTCCTTTCAAGAGTCGACTCAAATCTCACCTATTTGAGGAGGCCTTTCCGGTCTCTCCAGCTCTTAATGTCTTCCTCTCTGAGAAGTTTCCATTTACTCTGTATAAATATTGGTTTACAAGATATATGTGTGTGTGTGTGTGTGTGTGTGTGTGTGTGTGTGTGTGTGCGTGTGTGTGTTTGTATACATATGCATATAATACATACATACATACATATGTGTGTATATGTATATTCCTAGTTGTATATACATTCTCTCTCATTAGAATGTAATCTCCTTGAGAGCAGGGACTGTATTTTTGTTCTTCTTTGTGTAATCAGCATTTAGCATAATGTCTAGCACATAGTAAGTCTTAATAAATACTTGATTTGAGCTCATCAGAGTCCTATGTGGTCAGAACAGACAGAGACAAACTCAAGAGAATTCTTCAGATAGAATTCAGGGTGTGCTAATGACACAGTCACTAGTTCACTGTGAGGAGAAAAGCTTCAGCCTGGTACTGAATGGGGGACGGAGGGACCTTGGGCCCAGGTAGAGACTCTACTCCTCCAGTGAACAAAAGAATTGAAAGAAATAACTCCAGCTCTGGACTGGGAGTGGGAGTTAGGGTGAGCTAGCCAGGAAGGAGAAGGTGATTCAAAGAACAGGGAAATGGGCTGAGCCAGAAGGGATAAGAGGGGAAAAAATGAACATCTGAAAGACACTTAACAAGTCTTCCAGCCAAGTTAGGCCTGTGAACCTGTAACTTACTACACTCTGCACAGACTTTGTGCCCTGAGCTTCCCTGTGTAGGATATTTTCCAGTGAGACATCGGATTATAGGTACTGCATTACAGAGCAGCAGGTCAGAGATGTAGAACCTAAGAAGGTGGGAAAGGTGGAAAGGCTGTGATTCCAAGAGGCATAGTTTTGGAGGAGAAACCTCCTGGAGGCCTCCCCAGAAAACCTGTGATTCTGAGGCTGCCTTGTACTGAATTATATTTCAAGTTATTTTTATTTTTTCCTCCTTTGGTAAAGCAGGAGTTGACTATAGTAGGAAGCATCAGGCTGAGGGTGACTGAAGGGTCACTCCTGCAGATCCTCCCCCTACATCCCCACCTCCCCAGCGTTTACTCCCTCTGTGATCAGCCTCTGATGGATATGTTGTAAAGTTAATTAAGCTGGATGCAAACAAGGCTGTGGGTTTACAGGGCCTCAGCCTACCAGCCACACAACATGTTCCAACAGGCCCTGTGGAACAGGAAGAAGTTCTTGCTTTGCATATTCCAAAGTGCTAGATATAGGGGTGGGGGCATGGGCTCATCAGACTTCTTATTAATAACTTGCCTCTAGATCAAAGTTCCAACCTCCTGGTAATTTTTGGGTTTCTGGTGAGCAATTGGTTGCTGGGGGGGGGGAAGGGAGTGGAGAGGACAGCAAGGGAATATTTCTTCCTCTGGGCAATCTGGAACATGAGTAAAAGTGTTTAGATACTCAGGGCCCTATTTCTCCTTGGCGTCCTCATTGGTATCCCTGTCTCCCTCCTTTCTATTCTCAGTTTAATCTTCTTTACTTTCCATCAAAAAACTTTACTGGCTCCCTATTTCCTACTAGATAAAGCCCAGCAAAACTCATTAGCCTGACATTCTAGGCCCTCCACAATTTCTGGCCCCAGACTTCCTTTGCATATCTTATTTCCTAACTCCACTTCATGCATCCCAGGCTCTAGCCAAACAAGACTACAGCTATTCATGGAATATATTTCCTCCATTTGGAATGCTCTCCCTACCATCTCTGCCAATTCAATTCCTACCCATCCTTCAAGGCCCAACCCAAATGCCAGTTCCTCAGTAAGAGCTTCCCTGATCCCAGCTGGAAGCGACCTCTTCTTCATCTGCTCCAACCCCCCCCCCCCAACCTTAGCATATAATTTGTGACTTTCTCATTGGCCCATATCATATTCTGTCTGATACTGGAGTTATCAGAATACACGTCTATTTTCCCTCTATTTTCCTCTATTATTCTCTAAGGTAGCAGTCTTCAAAATGGCTTCATGGGGGGAAGGGTTGACAAACTCTCTCAGAGGCTGTGGCATGACTCCAAAGAGCATGTGATCAACCAATGATGAGTGGGAAGATAAGTTGCATCTAACCCCACAAGAGTAAATCTTCTGGGTTGTCTCCAACATAATCACAACTACCCTTCATCCATTACAGCCCAACACTCTCTTATTTCATACCCTCCTGCCGTTCTGCAAGCTCCCAACCCTCTTTCTTCTGCCCTGACAACCCCTGAGGGAAGTTATAATCTAACTGCAACCCAGGTATTCACAGTAGCAGCTACCCAAGTGTTACTGGGAAAACATCAATTTCTTTCCTAACTCATTTAGTTAGGTATAGACAAATGTCTCCTACCATATATCACAATAAGCTCCAAAAGTACACATAACCTAAATATAAAAGGTCATATCATAAGCAAATTAGAAAAGAAAGAAAAGAATTACTTTTCACAGTTATGAACAGTGGAAATGTTTTTGACCAAACAAGGGATAGTGAAAATCACAAGAGAAAAAAATGGACAATTTTGAGTACATAAAATGTTTTTGCACACACAAAACCAATGCAGCTAGAAGGAAAACTATTAATTGGGGGAAAAAAATCTTTGCAGCAGATTTTTTTTCTTATACATTTCTATTATCTAAGGTCTATAAAGAATTTATTTAAATATATAAGAGCAAGAGTCACCCAACAATAAATAAATGATCAACAGTTATGAACAAGCAGTTTTCAAAAGAAGAAAGGCAAGCTATCAACAACTATATGAAAAAGTGTTCCACATCACATACAATTCCACTGTGTGTGTCCATTATGAGGATCAACAAACCTGACTTTCCTTTCTCTAGTCTGACAGGACCCTGACACATACCCATACCTGCCCACCAACAGGAGCTCCCTGTCTCCTGCTTGAGGTCTCAGCTTCCGCCAGATGTCCATAGTGAAGAGTGTGCTGCTACTGTTGAAGATGGAGGTCAAGGAAGACATCAAGGCTGCCATCATGGCAGCAATCATCAGTCCCCGAAGTCCTGACCGCATTGAGAAAAAAAGGTCATGGTGACAAGGCAGGTTCTTCACCAACCTCCCCCGACACTGTACCCCTCCTGTCAAACACAGAGGGATCCATCCAGGCCCCAGAAAAAGCACGAGGCTCTGATTGGAGCCTTGAGTTTTCCAGTGACTTACTGTAGGACCATCAAGAAGTCACTCATCCTCCCTCTACCATCTGTCTTTTTAATCAAAACAATGGGATAATCTCTAAGGTACCTTCTAGCTCTGATGTTCTGGCATTGTATGTGTTCTTGTCCTCTGAAGCAGGTATATCAGTAGGACCATTTTACAAAGAAAGGCAACCAGAAACCTAAAGAGGGTCTGAGATTTACCATAAGTCACACATTGGCAAAGCAAGATTAGAGCCACAGTTCAGACTCATCTCCAAGCCTAGATTCCTGCCTCCATTGTGCTTTACCTCTAGGTCTTAATTTTATATTCACTGCTTTGGGGGAAGGACAAAGACCTTCACTGAGTTGGCTAGGGGTTAGGGGTGGGGGCAAGGTAAAGTGGTAATTCTGTCAAAGAAACCTGAAGAAGGGATCTTCTAAGAAAAAGAGACAATTTATGGGAGGTGTGAGCCAGGCTCAAACAGAAGAGAAACACAAGAAGAGGTGAGATGACAGTCCAGAGCCTGTGAGAAAAGGAAGGAGGAGGAAGTAAGACCCAAGCCACTAGACAAAAGCCTGAAGTAGAGAAGAAGAAAACTGACAGGTAAAGAAAGAGTGAAATTGAGGAAGAGTGAAGGAAAGAGAACTTCCAATTAAGATGGCGAATGTTAAAGGTTCTAGAACTCAGCTCTCCTAGCAAATACTCCAACAATGATTTAGAAGAATACCAGATGAAACAATAATCAAGGAGACCAAAGAGAAAATTCTTTTATATAGTACAGGAGTACACAAGAAGAGGATCAGACACTTGCAAGCACTCTGAACCTGGATTTACCAGTACAGCATAAAGGCAGATCAATTTCTGCTAAATGGGACCTGAAGCCAGTGGGATTCTGATCCTGCTATCTTAGCCACTTGGACAGTGCGGCACTGAAGATAGTAGACATCTCATGAACCTCACTCTTATCAGAACTGGGAGAGGGGGCAGCTAAGTGGTGCAGTGGATAGAGTTCTGGCCTTCGAATCAGGAGGACCTGAGTTCAAATCTGACCTCAGACACATGACACTTACTAGCTGTGTGACCATGGGCAAGTCACTTAACCCTGATTGTCTCACCAAAAAGAAAAAAAAAAAGAACAGGGCAAGGGAGGATTGAACACACATACACATACACACATAAATAATTTGATGTAGAAATACATTAAATTAAATAAGGAATCAGGAGGCGAGAAAGGAAAGGAAGGTTTAAGAGGGAGGATGGAGAAGGAATAACCCCAAGTAAAGCAAAGTGAACTTCATCTTTAAAGAAGAGAAAGGGAGGATTAAATGGATTGAAAGTGTAAGGGCCAGTGATTGGGGTCTAAACTGGGTGAAGAATGGAGAGGCAGAAGAATAAGATCAGAGCACTTCAATTATAGATCACTAATGTTAATTTCATTCCTTTTCTTTCCCCCCTTTCTTCTCATTTGTAAGGGGAGAAGGCAAGGGGCAAGGAGAGGAAAAATTCTAAGAGGATACGATGGAGGTAAAAACACAATTAATAAACAACAATAAATATGAATGGAATGAATGCACTCATAAAAAGGAGGAGAGTAACAGAATGGTTTAGAAAGCAGAAGCCAACAATATGTTCTTTACAAGAAATCTAAAGGTGAAACACAAAGATTCACAAAGAGTTAAAGTACGGGATTGAACTAGAATTTATTCTGCTTCAGATGATTGTTTTTTTAAAGCAGGCAAGGCAACAGTAAAAATAGATGTGGTTAAAGGAGATAAAAAGAAAAACCATATCATATATAAAAGTACAAAAGATAATTAATAATATCAATATGTTAAGATATATGCACCAAATAGCATAGTATATAAGTACTTAAAAGAAAAGCTAATCAAATTACAGGGAGAAATAAATAGCAAAACAAAAATAGTCGGAGACCTCACTGTGCCCTTTTCAGACAAATCTAACAAAAAGATGAACGAGAAAGAAGTTGACCTGAATACAGTTTTGGAAAAGTTAAATATAACAGACCTCTGGAGATTACTGAATGGGAATGGAAAGGAATATATGCATACGTACATTTACATATGCATGTATGTATACACATATATATCTTAGCTTTACATAACATCTTTATAAAAATGACTGTGTATGTGCATAAATAACTCATAAGCAAGTTCAAGAAAGTAGAAACATTAAACTATTTTTACTGAACAAAGTACAATAAAATTAAAATCAGTAAAGGGTTTTTGAAGAAAGGATTAAAAAAAGACTTAATAAATTGAGAGGATGCCCATCAATTCGGGGATGGCAGAACAAGTTGTGATATATGAATGTAATGGAATACTTTCGTGCTATAAGAAATGATGAGCAGGCAGACTTCAGAAAAACCTGGAAAGACTTGCATGGTCTGATGCTGAGTGAAGTGAGCAGAACAAGGAGAACATTGTACATAGTAACAGCCACATTGTATGATGATTAATATTGATTGACTTAACCCTTCTCAGCAATACAAGGATCTAAGACATCCCCAAAAGCCTCATGATGGAAAATGCTACCCACATCCAAAGAAAGAACCATGGAGTTTGAATGAAGATCGAAGCATACTATTTGCTTTTTTTTTTCTTCTGTTGTGTTTTGTTTCCTCTTTCTTGTGTTTCCTCCTATTGGTTCTAATTCTTACTTACAACGTGACTAACATGAAAAAATGTTTAATAGGAATGTATATGTATAGCCTATATCAGATTGTGTGCCGTCTTGGGGAGGGAGGTGGGAAGGAGAGGGAGAAAAATTTAAAACTCAAAACTTATAGAAGTGATTGTTGATAAATCAAAATAAATTAATTTTTAAAAAGATTTAATATAATCCTTAAAAGTTGATAGGTCAAAGAACAAATCCTAAAAACAACAGATCCTTAAAGAAAATGATAACAATGAGACAACCTTGCTAAACCTCTAACTAAATGCAAAAAATAGACATTCTGAAAAATCAAAAGCAAGAAAGCAAACTTGAAAAAAACCTATTGAACTGATACGACAAGCAGCTTGACATAGTAGATAATGTTGAACTTGAAGGCAGAGAGATCTGTGTTCAAATCCTGCCCCTAATACTCACTAGCTACGTAAACCTGGTCAAATCATTTAGTATCTCTGCTTCTCAGTTTCTTCATATTTAAAATTAGGGAATTAGACTCAATGACAATAAATACTCTTCTAACTTTAAATCTATGATTCTCTGATAAATAAAACTAGGAGTTGGGGTTTGGTTTGTTTTTTTTTTAGGCAATTGGGGTTAAGTGACTTGCCCAAGGTCACACAGCTAGTAAGTGTCAAGTGTTTGGTCTAAGGCCAGATTTGAACTCAGGTCCTCCTGACTTCAGGGCCAGTGCGCTATCCACTGTACTACCTAGCTGCCCCTTAGGAGTTGGTTTTTGAAAAAGTTAATGAAATAGACAAACCATTAGCCAATTAGATTTCTAAAAAGAGATGGAAAACTATATTACCACACTCAAAAGTAAAAAAGGAGAATTCACAACATATAAAGAAGAAAAAAGGGAAATGTTCAAAACCATTTTGCAAAAGTATCTACCATCAAACTTATAATTTAAATGAAATAGATGAATATTTATAAAAACATTAAATACTCAAATCATCAAAAGAAGAAATAGAGAATTTAAATAACCCAGTCTCAGCAAAAAAAAAAAAATGAATATGGTATAAAGTAACTCCCAAAGGAAAGAACCCCAGGATCAGGCAGATTTGCAAGTTAATTCTGTCAAACATTCAAATAGTAATTAATTCCAATATTACATAAGTTGTTTGCAAAAATAGAGAAAGAAAATAACCTACCAAGTTCCTACTGAGTGAAATATGGTTCTGACACATAAACCAAGGACAGACAAGGCAGAGAAAGAAAATTAAATACACATTTCTAATGAATATCAATATCCAAAAGTATTGATAGCAAAGAATCTGTAGCAACATAGCAAAAAATACTATACATTATGAGCAGAATAAATTTATATAAGGAAAGCAGAATTGGTTCGATATTAGGAAAATTATAAGTACAATAGGCCATACTAATTACAAAAAACAATAAGAACTACATAATTATATCAAGCGATGCAGAAAAGACTTCTTGCAAAATATAACACTCATTTGTGCTTAAAATTTTTGTTTTAAATCAGACTAAAAGGAACTTTGCTTAATATTATAAATAGGATCTACCTAAAACCAAGAGGTAATATTACCTGTAATTGAGAAATACTAGAGGACTTCCTAAGGAAATCAGGAGTAAAGCAAGGAAATCATTAGTTCCTAAAATGTTAGCTGGTAAAGCAAGATAAGAAAAAGAAATCAAAGGATTAAACATAGACAAAGAAGAAACAAAATTTTGCTCTTTTATAAACAGTTAACTTAGAGAACCCTAGATATTCAATTAAAATTTGATTGAAATAATAATTTCAGCAAAATATCTTAATATAAAATAAACACATAAACTCATCAGTCTGTTTATATATTACCAATAAAGGCCAGTGGGAAGAGATAAAGAAAGATATACCATTGAAAATAACTACCAAATGTATAAATATCTGGGAACCTACATACAGACACAGACACACATACAGACACACGTACACACACACACACACACACACACACAGAGGAATTATCTGAATAAAACTACAAAACATTCTTTATAGAAATAAAGACACAGCTAAATAACTGGAAAGATATTAATTGCTCATAGTTGGGCAATGGCAACATAACAAAATTACAATATCATCTAAATTAATTTACAGATTCAGTATTACATCTAAATATAAAAAAGTTACTTTACAGAACAGACCAAATAAGAACAAGATTCACCTGCAGACACAAAAGGTCAAAAATCTCAAGGAAAATAATGACAAAAAACATGAGAGCAGATGGCCTAGCAGTGCCAGATCTCAGACTATACTACAAAGTGGTAATCATCAAAACTATTTGGTCCTGGTTGAAAAATAGAAAAGTTAATCATTAGATTAACTTAGATTAAGTACACAAGGTCCAGAAGCAAGTGAACCTAGTATTTGTTCATAGTGTTTGATAAACCCAAGGAATCTAGGTACTGAGTTAACACTATTTGTCAAAAATTTCATGGAAAGCTAGAAATCAGTTTGCAGAAATTGGGTTTAGACCAATACCTCACAGCATTTAACATAATAATCTGCAAAGGGATATATGACCTAAATATAAAAGATCTAATTTTAAACAAATTAGAGGAAAAGGGTCAGAGATATTCCTCACAACTATAGATATGTAAGAATTCTTGACCAAACAAGGGATAGAAAGGATAATAAAAGGTAAAATGGACAATTTTTATTACACAAAATTGGAAAGTTTATGCACATACAAAACCAATGCAGTTAGAATTAGAAAGGCAACAATTAACTGGGGAAAAATATTTGTGGCAGATTGTTCTGACAAAGAGTTGATATCCTGACTATATAGAGAATGGATGGAAATATGTAAGACTTAAAGTCACTCTCCAATATATAAATGGTCAAAGGATGTGAACAAGCAGTTTTCAAAAGAAAAAGGCAAACTATCAATAATCCAAACCACTAATTATAAGAGAAGTGCAAATTAAAAACTCTGAGGTTCCATCTCACACCAACAGATTGGCAAAGATAACCAAAAAATGACAATTATTGGGGGGGGGACTATGGGAAGACAAGAATATTAATGCACTATTATTGGAACTATGCATTGGTCCAATCATTCTGAAAAGCAATTTGAAACCATACCCAAAAAGTCACTTAATTGTTCATACCTTTTGACCTAGTATTGTTATTGTTGCTGCTGCTGCTACTTTACACCCCCATAGAGTTCAAAAATAGAGGTAAAGGACCCATACATACAAAAATATTTATAGCAGCACATTTTGTGGTAGCAAAAAGCTGGAAACTAAGGGGGCACACATCAATTGGGAAATGACTTAAAATTATAGAATATGAATGTAATGGTCCATATTGCATCATAAAAATTATTAGAGGGACAGATTAAAAGAAACCTAGGAAGAATTAAATGAACTGACATGGAATGAAATGAGCATAACCAGGAGAACAAAATTTCTACCACTATTTTGTAAAGGAAAACAAAGAAAATGACATAAAAGAAAACAACTTAGAAAGATTTAAGAACTCTGATTAAAGCAATGACCAATCATGATGACTCTAGCAGAATGATGATGAAGCATGCTTCCCCACTCTAGGCAGGGAGATGAATTAGAGATGCAAATGAAAAGTAACATTTCAAATACATTAAATGTGTGAATTTGAATTTGTTTTGCTTGACTATATATATTTGTTGCAAGAGAAGGCTTTTATCTGGGGTGATATGGAAAGTATTGGGGTTGAGTACTATAGATAGTGATGCCAAAAAAAAAGAAGAAAAGGAAAAAATATCTGAGAACATTTAAAAAATACACAGATTAAGTGGACACATAAACATGACAGTATTAGTATTACTATGTTAAATTTAATATGTACTTTTAAAAAATAAGCTGGGTGTAATAGCTGTTTACAATTTCACACATGCTCTTTTTTATTCTTTACATATTAAAATGTTCATGTTTGGTAAGTTCATAATAAAAAAAACTAAAAAGGAAAAAAAGTAAAGAAAAGAGTATAGGACAGGATTAAGACAAGACAAGCAATGAGTGGTAGAAGATGGGAACCCTAATACTGGGAGAGAACCATAGATTCCTAGAATGCCAAAGCCAGTAAGTAACTTAGAGACCCAAGGACCATCTGGCTTGACCCCCTCTTTCTACAGAGGAGGAAACTGAGGCCCAGAGAAAGGGAATAACTTGTCCACAATAACAATGCAAGTTAGTGGTAGAACTAGCATTAGAATTTAAGTCTTCTCAAGGTCTAGGGGTTATAGGGGCTTGAAGCTGTGGTATTTTCCATATTTTCCAGGGTTAAATAAACTGAACTTCATTTCAATAATGAAACCATTCAGGTCTATAAATGGGATATGCTATACATCAGATTCTTTTTTTTTGGGGGGGGGAGGCAATCAGGGTTAAGTGACTAGTCCAGGTTCACATAGCTAGTATGTGTCTGAGGCCAAATTTGAACTCAAGTCCTCTGACTCCAAGGCTGGTGCTGTATCTACTGCACAGCCTCGTTGCTCCTATATATCAGCTTTATTGAGACTAAGGGATGTCTATGTATGTTTTGATAGTGCCTAGCACATAGTAGGCATTTAATAAATGTTTATTGACTGACTAGATTGATGGTATTGGAAAAGCTGCTCCCTAACGAGGGAGCATGTTTCTTATTCTACACAGAGAGGCACTGAGGCCAACATGGCCCAGTCACCCTCACTAGTATCCTTATAGGACAGGCCTAGTGGCATGAAGGCTCTGAAGTATGTGTAGGAACAGAATAGAAGGGAAAGAGGGAGCAAATTGGGTATGTAGTTACAGTAACAGTGGTAGAAGGAGGAATGGTAAATAGGTTTCAATATGGCAGATCTTGAAATCCAAGGAGCCAATCATGCTCCAAGCATTCTGGGACTAAGAAAGGTGGTAGTTCTAGTTGGAGTTTAAAGATCAGGGAAGTTTATTAATTTGTAAAGGAGAAAGCTCTGAGGCTATGATTAAGGTGTCCTGGACCAATGCCTAGGAGCTAGAAGCTGACTGGGACTGACAACACCTAATGGCCAGAGCCAGATGCTTCATGGTAACATAGATTCTCCCATCCTCTTTTTTTTTTTTTAGTCTGGACCTGTGATTTCATTAATGTGGGGAACTCATGCAAAAATTTTCTTCACTCATGCGAATTGGAAACTTGAGCAAATCACTCACTTCTTGGGTCTTATCTATAAAATGAAGGATTTGGATTAGATGGCTTTTTAGGTTCCTTCTGGCTCTAAATCTGTGATCTTAGTATATAGCATATAACTTGGATTTAACTAGATGCAACTAGTACATAATATGAACTCAGGGAGCTATGTGAGACACTGAGAGGGCTATGTGACTCTCCCAGGGATACACAGCTAATGTATATCAGAAGCAGGACTTGAACCCAGTTCTTCCTCCCTCAGATTCCAGACTTCTATCCCCTATACCATCCTGCCTCTCCATATTGATGCCTAGAATAGAAAATCACACAATATAGAAGCATAGAGTATTAGATCTAAGGTGGCCCTTAGGGCTTATTTAATCTAACCTCCCTCTGCAGCATCCCTGATGGGTGATCATCAAGGCTCTGTTTGAATATTTCCAGTGATACCTCAAGAGATAGCCTGTCTCATTGTTGAATAACCTCAATTACTGAGAAAGTTCTTCCTTATATAAAGCTGTAATCTGCCCCCCCCCCCCTTTTAAACTTCTAACCATTAGCAGAGCTGGAGAAGATGATTCCAGGAGCTTAGGGGAATATGTATGTTGTAGAAGAACAACAGATATCTGAGCCTATGGACCCTCTGGCTAATGGCTTAGCCATCTTGAGAATGACCCTGATCAGCTCAGGGAAGCACATCTTTCCTTCTAGTCATACTCTATCCACCCTCAACAATAGAGTTGACTTCTTAAGACCATTTTTTTTTTGCCTTTCTTTGTATCCTTAGCATTTAGCACAGTGCCTGGCACATAATAAGCACTTAATAAATGCTTGTTGACTGAATGAGTGACTTCACAGTCTACTCTGAGCCAGAATCCCTAATCTTTTCCCTTCTATTTGGCCAACAGTCCAAATCTGATACCTCCAGGTCAATGCTAAGGGGCCAACTGGGTATTATGGGGAATCTAAGGAGATCATTGCCAGAGAGCAGCAGCTGCTGAGCAGCTCTTCCCAACTGAAACCCCAAAGAAACAAGCTGTGGCTACGGCCTCTCCTCTTCTCAGTAAGCTATAGTCCTTGGAGAATCAATAACAATTTTCTGGCCAGCTTTGGGAAATCTTCTATACTAGGGACATTTAGGAGAGTTGGCAAATGGCTTGGCCGGACTGTTGGGACAGTCCCAGTGGGTGAGACTCCCACACGGGGGAAGCATAGCCTCAGCTCCACCCAGGCCACAAAACAATTAGCTGCTGAGCTGACTGGCCTGGCTTGCTCTGCTGGCTCCACCTGTGACCGCCTTACCCACAGGCATCAACTCCATCACTAGTTTGGGGTAGGCGATGTTGGAGCAGCCCACTTCGGTCCCACAGACCCTCAGGCACTCAGACGTCACCACACAGCCCACTTCATCTGAAAAATAAGGTGATGAAGAGAGAATTAGAGAGAGGTTAAAAAGAGAGAGAAAGAGGTTATCCCATGGCGAGGTTCTTCCCCCAACACTTGGTGAGCCTGATCCAGGGACTGTCCTTGAATTTATTCTTATTTCTAGAGTAGCCATTTTCATCTCAGAATGTAGGAATTCCACATGCTCCTCATTTTCTCTCAATTCTACCACTTTTCTTCCCCTACTTGCTTATCTCCTTATAATCTCTCTTCAGATAATTTTTTTTTAATCCTTTCCCTTACACTCAAGCTCTTGGTAGTTTAAGTTGGACTAACCTAATCTAGAAAAATGGTACTTTGATTCTCATCCACCTATAGCCGGCTGAGACTGAAGCATTGCCATCGATTTGTGGCAGATACGTGATAGGTCAGTAGCAGAAGACCAGAATGAAACAATAGGTTCACAATTCTTTCTAAGGGAGCTAATCTCTCCAAAGAAGGAGGGAAAGTCCAGAGCCCCAAGAGGCCAGGCAACATGGCAAAGCTTCTAGGGGCTCAGGATACTGTTGCTGCTTTGACTTCACCCTAGAAATAACACATAGGCCATGGCTAGCTTGCCAAGTCTTATCCTAATGTTACAAATTGGGTTGGGTGGAAGAGTAAATAAATTAACTCTCTCAATGGTAAAGATGATAGATCCTAACTCTATTCCTGTCATAGTTGTGCTGTATGATGCTGATCAAAAAATAAATAAATAAATCTGACAGTCAAAAAGGATAATGCTATTTTTCCAATGCTGTCATAAGACATCACTTGTAAAAAGCAAGCCTCTAGTCTTGTGTCATCATCAAAGTATTATAAATGTCAACCAATAATGCGAGCTGAAAAGGATTACAGCGGACAAGAGAAATCCCTCATAAAGCAGGGATTGTTTGAGGCTCCACAGCTTTGTGGAGATTCTTGTGGTTTGGGTATGCAGCTCAGCAAAAAATCCATTGTCCATGAGATAACCTTGGGGCTCAAAAGTGAGCCAAACATCACAGTGTAAATAAGTATCAAAGGGAATTGGGGAGGTTAAACAATCTTTCCTGCAAGGAAGAGAGGAATCCTTCCCTTTTGGCAAATGGATAAATGAGGATGGGAAAAGAAAGAGGGTTAACCCCAGCCCCTGTAGAGATCTACAGGCCATGGGTAAGGACAATTCAGTCCAGAGGCTTCTGTTGGGTGTTAGTGCATGAGATCATTAGCTGCAATGGAGTCTTCGTTGATAACATGTCCCAGAAGGAAAGGTTTTACCTTGTTATGAATTTCTGCTTAGGCTGCACTTTCTGTCTGCAAAATGCTTTGTAGTCATTATTAGTCAACTCTCCTAGCATCTCTCTAAGCCTGGTACTATTTACATAAGGTAACAGAAGTGTGAAGGCAATGAATGGCCTGCCCCATGCTCTCCATTTTGCAAAGTTGTGAATTATGCATCTAACCTTTCTCATCTAGGCTACCCAATTATTAATACACTTGCTTCCCTTCTCAGTTCAGACCTTCTGGTCCTCATAGAGTAAGTAGCATCTTCACTGTGTTCTCTGCTCACAGACTGAGTCCCATCACAGTTAGGCAACCCTGGGCAAGGGGCATAGAGTAGACATGGGCTACAAAAAGGTGAATCAGGCTTGGCTGTCTACTCCATTATTAGATGTGATGGACACAAGGAAGGCCCCAGAATACCTCACCTGCCAGTCTGCCACAGTGCCCGAAATTCTACTCTTGAAACTTGATTCCTTTTGGTTAAAACTAGAACTATCTAATTCAATATTTATTAATGCTCAAGTCAGACTCTCCAAGATCTTCCTTTAAAAGGCAACACTCTTCTAGCAAAGGTGACTTTTTTAGGCTCAGACTTTTCACTTTGTGCTTTTCTTTTATTTTTCCCCTTCACTCTTGCAGCTCTCCTACCTGAGACATCTTTCTTCCATCTCTTTTATCTGTCTAAAACCTATGATTCTTTAAAGCCAAGGTCGAGTACTCCTTTCTGTATGAAGCTCTGATCTCCATTGAAAGTGATCTCTCTCTTCTGAACTCTTAAAGTATTGATTGTCCACATCACTGATTTGGCCATTCAGGTATATCCTGCCTTGTAGTATTGCTTAACTGTTTCACATTCAGGCTTCTTGTGCCCTCCAAAAGAACATTCACCCATTGAGGTTGGAGACTGCATCTTACTAGTTAGAAGGTGTATAGCACAGGAGAAATGAGAATCAGAGGACATGAGTCCAAATCTTGACTCTTACATTATACATACTACCTGTGTGACCTTGGGCAAATCACTTAATCTCTCTGGGTCTCAGTCTCCTGGTTTGTAAAATGAGAGAGTTTGGCTAGACAGCCTTCTATTTCTATATCTATCATCATTCACCCACAATTCAACAGATAACCCACAGTAATTGACATAGAGCCTCACATACAGCAGGTATTCAACACCTTTGTTTTGCCTGGACAATTATTTTGGAGAGTATCTTTGTTCAAGATATCCCCATTATGTGAAACAGAACTCAAACCAAACCCTGCTAGTTAGTGAATCATCCACAGGCAAAGATGATACTTCTGACCAACTATCAGTTTTGGACTACTTTAACCTCCTGGTCTGCTTCTTACCATATCCACCTGGTATTGGGGGAAGTAAACAATGCCTGACCTTTCCTCCCCTGCCTTCCCCAATCCCCAGTGACTAAAGGAGGCAAGGAAAGGCTGGATCCTGACTCCAGGAGCTCTGCTTCCCATAGTGTGGGGGAAGGAGGTGAACCATGGGATAGGGAGATTCCAGACAGAAAAAGGCAAAACTGATGACTAAGAAAATGAACTATCTTCTGTTAAAAGAAGAGAAATGACTCCTAGAATCATAAAACTATAATTTTTTTTAGAGCTAGAACTAGGACTAAAACCTAGGAACAAAAGCTTGGCTTTAGCCAAATGAGTCTGGATGGGGGATATTGTTTATATCTTTGGATTTTAAAAAATGGATTGATTGGTTTTGTTGATTTGTTTTTTCTTTTCTTCCTCTTTTTATTTTTTCTTTTAAAAAAATTCTTTGTTATATGAGATAGCTCTCTAGGAGGGGGAAGGAAACAGGGAGAAATTTAGGTGATGTCAATAAAATTTATTTTTAAAAAATCAATCAGGAAACCTAATGTAGTATACTGAAGCTGGTGGTGTAGTGAATAGAGCACTAGGCTTGGAGTGAATTCCAGTCAGGCCTGACACTTACTAGCTGTATGACCCTGAGCAACTCACTTAACCTTTGTTTGCCTCAGTTTCCTCAATTGTAAAATTGGGATTGTAAGCACCTACCGAAAAGGCTGTTGGGATGATCAAATGAGATAATATTTGCAAAAAGCACTTAGCCCAGCACTTGCCAAGAAGGTGCTTATTTTGTTGTTGTGTTTCCTTGGCAAAGATACTGGAGTGGTTTGCCATTTCCTTCTCCAGCTCAAATTACAGATAAGGAAACTGAGGCAAACAGGGTTAAGTGACTTGCCCAGGGTTACACAGCTAGTGAGACCAGATTTGAATTTATAGAGCTGAATCTTTCTGACTCCACACCCAACACTCTGTTCCTTCCGCTGGAATACCTTTTGTGGCCCAACCTTTAGACATTGCACTGCAGGGTAGATGAGAAGAAAAGTAAATGTTTTCTGCCCTCTTGAAGCTAAGAGTTTGATTTGGAATTTAGGAAAGCATAATAGAGGCTGGGATGTGATTAAGGGACAAATTATTTGTTATAAATGATACATGCACAAATCAGCAACCACCATTCACCTTTCCTTTTTGACAGAGGAGAGGGAAGAAACTTGGAAGTAGAAGTGGGGAAGAGGAGGAGGAGGGAAAGAGAGAAAAGGGGGTGGAATATATTGAGGAAAGAAGGAAAGGAGTCAAGGAAGCCGAGGATGTGTGGCACATTGTTAGAGAAACAGTAAACAAGAGCTGAACTGTGCATCACCTAGCAAGCCTTCATGAGCCAGGTGTCTGAGCTTAGCTCAGTGGGTGGAGGCAGCTGATTACAGCTCCTAACTGGGACACAACCAACCCCCTGGGCCGGGCTCAGTTTCATGGTGTTCACTGGGCCCAGCCCTCCCTCAGAGGGAGCAGAGTCATTGGGCATCTGGCTTAGAATCACAGAGTCATTAAATTTTTTAATTTATTTATTCAACCAATTAAAATGTGCCTGGCACAAAACACTGCCTCTTTTATTCTTGCGCTTGGCATTTATTGCTGAACAATGAAAAAAAATACATTTTCAAACAACAATAATAAACAGATGCATCCAAACATGGAAACTCCCAGTGCAGGATCCAAGGTGGAAACTTGCTTGGTCTCAAGGTTAGAATAGAGAGAAGAATGGGCTCTGACTAGGGCAGGTCAAGCACATTCCTAAGAGGCCAGGACACTAAGCTGAGTCTCCTGTATTTCAGAGGGGGATAATCTTGGTGCTTCAATTTAGTCCATTGATAACTGGAGAGTAACTAGGATGAAGAAGACCTTTGAGACCATGCCAGATAAGGATCAGTTGAAAGAAATGGAAGAGAGAAGACTGAGAGTGGGCATTACATCTGTGTTCAACTATTTGAAGGCCTGTCAGTTGGAAAAGGGATTAGATTTGTTTGTTCTGGCTTATGAGGACAGAACCAAAGGCAAAAGGGAAAAGTTGCAAATGGGCAAATTTAGGCCTGATGTCAGAAAAACATTCCTAACAATTAAAACAGCCCCAAAGTGGAAGGAGATAGCTTGAGAGATGATGGGTTCCCTATCACTGGAGGTCTTCAGTGAACTGAATAACCACATGTCAAGTGTGTTAGAAGAGGGATTCCTCCCTAATAGAAGATGGACCAGATGGGCTAGTCTTGATCTTGACCTGATCACTTAACCTATCCCTCTCCATTTCATTTCCCCCTCCATGAATGACCCAGACAGACACTTAGGTTCATAAATGATCATGGATTTAGAATAAGAAGGTGCCTTGGAGGTCATCTATTGTAACCCTCTAATTTTATTGGGAGGAAACCAAGGCCCAGAGTGGCCAAGTAACTTGCCCAAGGTCACAGAGGCACAAAATACCGGACCTAGGATCTGAACTTGGGTATTTCTGCACAAGTGCTTTTTTTCTTTTTCTTTTTTTTCTTTTTTTGGGTTAGGCAATGGGGTTAAGTGACTTGCCCAGGGTCACACAGCTAGTGAGTGTCAAGTGTCTGTGGCCAGATTTGAACTCAGGTCCCCCTGACTCCAAGGCTGGAGTTCTATCCACTGCACCACCTAGCTGCCCCTCTGCACGACTTCTCAGGATTCTGGTCACAATTCCATCTGTGAGCAAGTTTAACTTTGGGGTAAAAGAAGGTTTGAAGTTCAAACATGGAAATTCTAGTAACACAGAGAGGGGAATGACCCTAAAATATAACTACTACATATAGCAAAGGCCCCCGTGGGCTCACTTCACCTATCACATAGTCTGGTGCTCTGGTATTAGAAACAGCATGCTCCACCTGGCATTTTCAAACCTAATTTTGTTGTTTAGTTGTTTTAGTCATTTTGTGTCTGACTCTTTATGACCCTTTTTTGGGATTTTCCTGGCAGAGATACTGGAATGGTTTGCTATTTCCTTCTCCAGCTCATTTTACAGATGAGGAAACTGAGGAAGACAGGCTTAAGCGACTCGCCCAGGGTCAAACACAGCTAGTGATGTCTGAGAGCAGATTTGAACTCAGGTCTCCCTGATTCCAGGCCCAGCACTCTATCCACTGCCGAAACGTAATTTTGAATCACTAGAAGGAACTTTTGAGATTACCTAGGCCAGGGTAGAAAACCTGTGGCCTCAAGGCCACATGTGGCTCTCTAGGTCCTCAAGTGTAACCCTTTGAATGAGTCTAAACTTCACCAAACAAATCTCCTTAATAAAAGGATTTGTTCTACAAAACTTGGACTCAGTCAAAAGGCTGCACCCAAGGACCTAGAAGGCTACATGTGGCCTCAAGGCTACAGGTTTCCCACCCCTGAATTCTACTCTAACCCTTGAATTATACAGATAAGGAAACTGAGGCGCAGCAAGGTGAAATAACTTGTCAACAAACACATAAGTAGAGGTAGGATTTGCACCCAGGCCTTTTCATTCCAGTGCCAAATTTTTATTTCTAACATTCCCTTTTGATGCTTCCAGGAGGGAAGACTAAATATAAAAGATTCATAGCATTTTAAGGCTAGAAGGGATTACAACATTAGAACTGAAAAAGGACCTTCAAGATCAAATTCAAATCTCTATGACTAATAGTGATAAACTGAACCCTTCCCAGCAATACAAGGATCTAAGACATCTCCAAAGGCCTCGTGATGGAAAATGCTAGCCATATCCAAAGCAAGAACTATGGAGTTTGAATGCAGATCGAAGCATATTATTTGCTATTTTTTTTTCTTCTGTTGAGTTTTGTTTTCTCTTTCTGGTGGTTCTTCCTATTGGTTCTAATTCTTACTTAAAACACCACTAATGTGAAAATAAGTTTAATAGGAATGTATATGTATAGCCTACATCAGATTGTGTGATGTCTTGGGGAGGGTGGTGGGGAGGAAGGGGGAGAAAAATTTTAAACTCAAAAGCATGTGGAAGTGATTGTTGATGAACCAAAATAAATTAATAAAAAAAAATTCAAATCTCCATTTTTACAGAGTATTTGCTTAGAGAGAGGAAGAGAATATTCAAGATTGCATAGTCACTTTGTGGCATTGTAGGGATGAGATCCCAAGTCTTTTAGTTCCAGAATCCCAGTCCAGAACACTGCTCATTTCAGGCAGTAAGTCAGTCAGTCAATAAACATTTATTAAGCACCTGCTATATACTAGGCATTGTGCTAAGCACTGGGGATACAAGAAAAGGCAAAAGACAGTCCTTGCTCTCAAGGAACTCATGAACAGGAGAGATACCAAGCAAACAAATATGTGCAGACAAGTTATATACAGGATAAACTGGATATAATCAACAGAGGGAAGGCACTAGAATTAACGGGGATTGGGAAGGCTTCCTATAGAAGGTGGGGTTTTATCTGAGACTTATAGGAAACCAAAGAACAGGGTGATAAGCCCCACCTGTCCCTTGCTTCTCCTTTTTTCATTATATTCCTCACTTTCTGCTCCTTCTTCCATGTTGGCGTAGATTCTTGGGGAGGTAGTAGTGGTAAACACACATATGTAAAGAAAAAGGATTCCATTTCCTTCAAGTGGTATCTGCTACTGCCCAAACTCATTCTGTCTTCTACTTAGGGTCATACTCCCTAAAGGGGTGACCAGGCATAACCCCAGGGTTTTCCACTTTTCAAGGTTAGGAAAGAAAACAGCAGTCATTGGGCAATTGACCACTCAACTCTAGGGAGTACGGTCAACCCAATTCTCCCTTGCCCATCCACCTACCCCTAAGATTTCTAAATAAACAATTATAATCACAGTGTTAAGTCAATGAAGTCTGAAGACCTACGACAGCATCAAATCACCCTACCCGCTCCTTCTTCTTTATGGGTTCAGAAACTGAGGTCCAGAAAGGCAACATTTTTTGACAAAAGTCACACATCAGATAGTGGCAAAATGGGAACAAGCATCCCAGACTCCTAGTCCGGTGCTTTTTTTCACTACAACATACTGCTTATTCACCAAACTTCCAAACCCACCACCAATTGACTTCACAAGTCTCTGGGCCTGGCTCCACATCAGGAGAAGCTAGGAGGAGATAACATGGGTCCCCGCCCTCTTGAAGCTCATCATGTGGAGTTCAATGTCTCCTTCCAAACTAGCTTTGTCATTAGGCTGACGAAGGACAGCCCAAGAGGCAGGTCCATTTTTAATGGGCTTTTCTAAGGCTCTGGCCAATTAAACCCCTCCCTGCCCAGGCAGCTGTTTAAAGGAGGCTCTAGCCATCAGATGTGGCAGCTGCACCACCCCATAACACAGAGCCCCCAAGCTCCAGAGACGCCAAGGCCTCTGTCCAGGTAGCTGAGCTTGTTCTGGAGCTGAGGTAGGCCTGTGTTTAGGGGATCCACCGCTAAAGATCTGTTCCCCTTAAAGTGATGGCCTTCAGAGTCCTCCATTAGAGGCCTAGCTTCACTTATGTGAAGTATATTGGAATAGCAAGGGTGAGGGAAGTATGGAGCACCTCAGGATTGGAGAACTGCTCCCAGTGTTTAGTTTTTGTTTTGTTTTTTCCAGTCATGTCTGACTCTTTTGGGGGTTTCTTGGCAAAGATACTGGAGTGGTTTGCCATTTCTTTCTTCAGCTTATTTTACAGATGAGGAGAGTGAGGCAAACAGGATCACACAGTTAAGAAGTGTTTGAGGCTGGATATGAACTCAGGCCTTCCTCACTGCAGCTCCAGCACTCTTTCCTCTTCACCACCTAGCTGCCCCAACTGATCCAATAGCAGCATCTAAGGTGGCACAGTCATAAAATGAAGAGCTCGAAGGGTTCTTAAGCATCATTCAATCCAGTAATTCAATCTCCATTGCACAAATCAAGAAACTGAGGAGGGTGAGAGTGGTCTTCTCAAGTCATACAGGGAACCAGGCTCAGAACCAGGTTTCCCAGCTTGAAAACCATTGTTCTTAACTACACCACCTTCAACTGCCATAGAGAAACAGCATTATAGATCTATAGCTAGAAGGGACCATAGAGATCATTTAGGCCAACCCTCTCATTTTACAGATAAAGAAACAGGGCCAGAGAGGTGAAACAATTTGCCTCGTCATCCAGATGGCAAGCAGCAGAGAAGGAACCTGGCCCTCTAAGAGGAAGGTAAATCTTTTTTTCTTGGCTCCAAACCTGGGTGGTTGGCTAGCACCCCCATCACTGGGAATTAATGAAAACAGTACAGTAAATCTCTATTGAGATTAGATATAGCATCTGGTCCTATGCTAGGTCCTGTGGGAATGCCAATCGTTAGAAGCCCTAAAGAAGTTTATAATCCAGGGAAAATAACACAAACCAATACAGCTGTGGAATAGTGGAGAGTCCTGGAGGAAGACTGAGGACGACTGAGGTCTAATCTTGGTTCTGCTTGCTGCTGCCAAGCTGTATAATTTTGGTTGTCACTTTCTCTCTCTCTGGGCCTCGGTCTCCTCATCTATAAAATACCGGGGCTTTGCAATTTTCAAATGAGGAAACCGAGGCCCAGAGAGGTTCATTTGTAAACTCCTCTCAAGGTCTAAGATAAAATCAATCTCCACAAGGTACTAGGGCCTATAAACGAGCCTAGACTGTGTGGGGCAGATTAAGTGGAGTGGGCTGGCTGGTCACGGTCTGGGAAGGCTTGTGGGAGGAGGTGGGATTTGCCAAGTTCCCAGCAGCCACATCAGGCTCCCTCCTGGAAGGTATGGGGGGTTGGAGGGAGGAGAGAGAGAGGAGGTCGTTAAGGATTGGTGCCCTGGAGGGACAGCGGAGGAGCTGGGCAGGAAGTTGGGAGGTGTTAGGTGAACTAATCCCCAGGCTTTCGGGAATGGGGGCGCTCAGCTTCTCCCCTCCCATCCCCCGGGAGCTTAGACACGTCGGGAGACACCGGGGATGATTCATCTTCCTGGGTCCCGACTCAGAGTCGGATCAAGAAACACCTGAGCGCGCGCAGATCCCGGCCTGTGGAGGCGGGGCCAGGGTTGCACGTGACAACCCCCCCCCCGGGCAGGTGGGGCCGGGCGGGGCCATGATTCACTCGGCTCCCGCCGCCCGCCCCTCCCCGCCCGGCTGCTTCCGACTCGTCCCCTCCCGCTTGTCATTTGCGCCGCTTTACCTGGGCAGCTCCGCTCTGCCTCCCTTTCGCCTGCCCGGCCGCTGGGGCCCAGGTTGCTGGAGAGAGCTGGGGTAAAGAGTAAACCCCCACCTACCTATCCTCCTAGCCTCCCAGAGGCTTCCGAGACAGCCTTCTCACCCAGCTCCACCTCCCTCCTCTTCCACGGACTTCCCAGCACTTTGCAGTGCTTGGAGATCCGAGTGCAGGCCATGCCGGCTCCCGGGAGTATTGTTGGGGGTTTTATTGGTGTTGGGGGAAGGGAGGAGAGAGAAGACCGGAGGAAGGGAGAAGACTAGCTTCCGCCACCGTCACCTAGAAGCCCTCTTAGATTTCTGAATCATTTGACCCCCAAGCCAACCCTTCTATCCTGGGCTGCCCTTTCCGCAAGCCCTTATTCATACTCTCCGCCTCTTTCCCCAAACAGGTTCCCTATGGGCAGAATGCAGGTGAAGCCTGTGCGTGCCAAACACTACCTGTCCTGCTGGGCCATCGCTGGGCATTCGGGCATCTGAGCTCAGGATCCAAGGAGCAAGAAAGAAGGAGGGGGAGAGAAGAACGCCTTTGGCCTCTGGGAAGTCCTATAGACTAGAAGCCTGAACTCCCCCTCCTTCCCCTAGTTTAACTCTGCTCCGGCGCCAACCACTCCTTCCTCCTTCAGTCCTGACTTGACCAGCGTATGTGCCCCTGGCACAGCCATGGCGTATTCCCAGGTGCAGTGCCTGGACGACAGCCACGTGAACTGGCGTTCCAGCGAATCTAAACCTGAATTCTTCTACAGTGAGGGGCAGAGGTTGGCCCTAGAGGCCCTGGTGGCAAGGGGCCCCGAGGCCTTCTACGAAGTTCTCAAGAAGGAGAATATCCGGGACTTCTTGTCTGAATTGGAGCTCAAGAAGATCCTGGAGACAATTGAAGTCTATGACCCAGGATCTGAGGACCCTCGGGAACAAAGAGGTCTCTGTGAGGGCTCTGGGCCCCATGATAAGGAAGAGAATGGAGAGGGAGGTGGTGATGCTGATGGTGATGCTGACCTGGTCCCTTCCTTGGAATACTGGCCACAGAAGTCAGACCGCTCTATTCCACAGCTGGACCTTGGTTGGCCTGATACCATTGCCTACCGTGGGGTGACCCGTGCCAGTGTGTACATGCAACCCCCCATCGATGGACAAGCCCACATTAAGGAGGTGGTCCGGAAGATGATCAACCAGGCACAGAAGGTGAAAAGAGATAGAGAATCCTGAGGGTGAGGGAGGGGGAATATAGCTAACATGTATATAGGGTTTTAAGGTTTGCAAAGAGCTTTACAAATATCACATGTGATCCTCACAACAACCCTGGAAGGTAGGTGCTATTATTACCCCATTTTACAGGTGAGGAAACTGAGACAGATAGCAGTAAAGTGACTTGTCCAGGGTCACACAGCTATTTGAGGCCAAATTTGAACTGGTCTTCCTGACTCCAGTCCCAGGACTCTATTCACTTTGCCACCTACCTGCCTTTCAGGAAAGATAGGACTGGATTTTCTTGCACAGCTTACTGTATGTCAATGAGAGATATGTTTCCTTAGAGGTCAGGAGACAGAAAGCAGGACATACCCTTCAGTTTCGGGGTGCTGAGGGGAGGAATGACAAAATGATCTTCAGAACTGAGGAAATGCTTGGTAGTCAGATAAAAATGATGAGAGAATCAAATATCTTTGAACTGATTACTTTCAACTGTTATCTTACTCCTCTTTTGCATTAAGATGCCTGGAATGCTTTTTCAAATATCTTTGTTAATTCATATCAGCTTTCTCTTCCTTTCCAAAAAGCCTTCCTGAGGAAGAATTCAGTAGCTGGACATATTTTGCCTTTAGGCAGTGGCACAGTGTGTGTGTGTGTGTGTGTGTGTGTGTGTGTGTGTGTGTGTATACCTCTATGACATAGTCAATAGTAAGAAAGCTCTTGCCTACGCAGATGAGTATTTGATGAAACCAGGGTGGGCGTAGGCATGACTCAGATCATGGTAAGGTCTGGATCTAGGATTTGGGACCAGAAATTTCCCTAGTGTATCCTTAAGCATGTGATTTAGACTCTAGAGGGCAGTTGGAAAAGAGACAAAACCATACCATTTGTGACTAAGAAATATGAATGCTGATCTTAGAAAAAGAGTATATTGGACTAAGGGATTGGGAGGTCTAGGTTCAAGTCTACATTTTGCCTTAGCAGTGCAGTGTGATCTGAGGAAGTCATTTCACTTCTGTGGTCCTCCATTTCTGCTTGGGTAAATTTTAAGATGTGGAGTAGATTTATAGGGTCGACTTCTGGAGTCAGGGGATTTGGTGCTGACTTGGCACTGGCAGGCTAATATTTCGTTGCTGAACTGAGGACTGGACAAAGGTAGCAAGTTGCCAGTTAGGAAGACTCAGAGACCTCAGCAAAGGCCATTTGGGCTGAATCTTTGTAGAAGCTTAGAGTTGAAAGGAACCTGAAAGATAATTTGGTTCCACCTCTGCAAGCCAGGAGGTGGAGCATAAGGTAGACTCAGCTTCCCTTCAGGTTACTAATACTATCCAGCTCAAAACACATTCCTTCAATTGAGCCCTGAATTTTTTGTTTTATTTGTAGCCGTACAGAGGACATTGAGTAGCTTCCAGAGCCTGCCCCACACTTTAAACTCTCTCTGTCTCTCTGTCTCTGTTTCTCTCTCTCAACAGTGTACTTAGCTATTAAACAGGGCAGTCAACTTAAAACATTTACGGCCTTGCTTGGCTGTAAATGAGCAGGAGTTTTGGTCACATTTGCACTTAGAATCATAGGAATGGGAGCTCTCGGAGCCCTTCAAGATCACCCAGTCCACTCCCTTTATTTGTACAGATGAGCAAACTGAGGTCCACAAAAGGTCACACAAGTACTAAGTGGCAAAATGAGGATTCGAACTGATTTCCTGATGCCAAGTCCAATGCTCTTTCATCTGCATCCTGGTGCTTCTTAGAGATTGGTGTCATCATAAGCATAGGACTCTGATGCCTTTAGGTTGAATTCTCTGAAAGACCATTTTGGGGCCAAGGGCCCAGTGAGTTTACTCAGGGGTGAAGGTTGGTATGTTTTTGGTCTGAGAATTGGGGGCAGAGGGGTGCAAATATGAACTCTGTTGTGTTGACACCTCTCTGGTTGACCGAGTGTTAGACTGGGAACAATTGTGGAAAGGCCTTGTGACTGAGGGGAAGGCAGCAGATGAGAAATGGATGCCCTGCCCCATGTTTGTATCTGCTGTGGCTCAGGCTTTGCCCTTCTCTAGCTTTCTTTTTTTTCCCCCCTTCTCTATCTTTCTAATTGGGAGAAAGAAAGAGAGAATCTGGAGGAATTAATTTGATTCATCTCTCTTCTACCGTTGAAGGTCAGCCTATAAGTCCAGAGGCTTCTCTCAGCAAAACCTGATTTTGACCTTTTTCTCCAACTTCTTCTCCTAAGAATATCATAGGTACTGGCCTGGTTTTGCCCTCTTCTCCTTGTGCATAGTGAAGGGCCTTTCCTCACTTCCCCTCTTCTCCCCCAATAATGAGTGGTAAAATGTCCCCCAAAATAAGAAACAAAAAGAAGAATTGGGAGATTGTCTCTCTTAACTTGGAATTCTGAACTAGGGGGGGAGAAGGAAGCATTGTTATACTAGGTCCTAGGCAGAGGAGAAAGAGCATGCCAATATGACCTCTAAAAAACCTTCCGATTCCATTATTCTGTGAATTTCCTGGGACTATTCTGATAGCCTCAGAGCCTAGATGTCCATTGTTATTTTTAGCTCTGCCTCATGATAGGAAAGCCAGAACTAGAGGAAACTCTGGGCTGGAGAAGTGAAAGGTATTGGAGCAGTGACTGCTAGTTCCTCTTCTGGTTTGTGACCAGTTGGTTAGTCGTAGAATCATAGATTTGAAACTGGAAGAGACCCTAGAAGTCATCTAGTCCAACCCCCTCCCACTTCTCCATTTTACAGATAAGGAAACTGAAACCCAGAGAGGTGAACTGACTTGCCCAACATCTCCTAGGTAGTAAGCAGAGCTGGGATTTAAATCCAAATTCTCTGACTTCATATCCAGTGCTCTCATTGAGCTATGCTGCCTCCCTTCTAGGACTCCTGCTAGGGTATTACTTGGATTCAAAATGACTAGCATTAATTTTCCACCAAGTGTAGTAACCAAGGAGGCAATCTGATCTGTAAATTCTATACCTGCATCCTATTAAAGGACAGCTTAAGAACCCAGGGGCCTCTTCTCTCTCAGCTAGCAGTGGTTCAGTAGCCAGGGAAGCAGCAGGACCATAACGCCAAGCTGCAAATTCAATCCTTTGGGAACTGAATTCACAGAGTCCTAATCTCTTCCAGACAGACAGACACATGAATGATGGAGCCAGATAGAGGAAGCCTGAGGCCCTGTGGGAGGCCACCTTTGGTAGCAGCTTTCCAGGTGACAACTTATTTCTGTTCCACCCCACTGACCAGAGTAGTTGTAACCTGGCTAGGCTCCAGAGAGGTGACAGGTATCTAGCCTTTGTGTGGGCACAAAGATTGAAATTGTCTCCAGACATGGAGGTGGGGCCAGGTAGGCCATTCAGGTGTCTGTTAGCAGAGGATATGAGACTCTATGGAAAGAGAAGGCTCCATCATCAGTGATGTGGCTGAGAAAAGATGTGCTCACAGTGGTTCAGCACCCTGCTCATTTTCAAGTCTCACAGTCTCTTGTTAATTTTGAAATGGTCAGCAAGTAGTGTGTTCTGATACTTGGGGACCAAGGAATCCAGTCAAGGGATAACCACCTCTGATGTCCTGTCCTCTCTTCCTAGGAATCACCCCCAAGCATCTATAAGTGGAAGTGTGTGTTGCCTTTCCCACCAAGCTATGAGGGCTGGTCCCAGTGTTTGGTGATTGTCAGTGGAAAGGTGCTGCAAGGTCCAGAGATGCTGATGAATGCTGACAGGGTACATTCCCATGGGGCCCTGGTTATTTGCCAGAACCCTGAAGCTGACATCCTACCTCCTGACATGCTCTCTGGTTCTTATCTCTTCCCCTCAGCTTGGTTTCCATCACCTGAATCATTAGGTCCTGGCCTCACCCTCTTCCCCACACCCAGTATTCCCCTAATTAGCAGAAGAGGCTGGGATACTGGGTACATCTGAGCAAGAAGGTCCTCTCGTGATTGCCTGCAACCCAGTATACCACAGTGTACATGTATGTCTGTGTGTGTTTCAGAGTTCTCTTTACCTTACCCATGCCTTCTAACTCAAGTGAGTGGCTTACTTCCATCACTGGGTGTCTATGTCTAGCTGAGCAGCTGCTGCTTGGAGGTGGGGGGTGGGGAAGGGATGACTCATGCCTCTGAGTAGCGCCAGTGTGGCCTGATACCTCTTGACCCTGTCAGCAGTAGAGCTAAGACATCCCTCCTAAGGCCCTCCTTCCCCTCCCCTCTCCTCTCTCCTTCCAGTCATTCTACAAATAGGGATGTGACGTAACTGAGACTCATTCCTAACGCTAACAAGGTGGAGGAAAAGTGGACTCCCCTAGGAGTCCCTTCCCACCAAGAAGGCCAGTAGCTACTGAGGAAAATGAATCTTGGTTCTTTGAAAGAGCAGAGGGCTAAGAATCAGGAAACATGAATCTCTGCCACTAGTTCACTGTGTAACAGGGGATGAATCACTTCATCTCTCTGGGCTTCCATGAAGGGGTTGGATTAGATGCTCTATAAAGTACCTTCTAGTTCTAACATTCTTTGACTTTTCCATAGTGAGAGAAGCCATGGACTTTTTGAATATTTAGAAGACTCTGGATTTTTGTGTGTGTCCAGTGTGGGGGGTAGGGGCACAGGGCCACAGACATTCTTCTGGGTTAAGGTTATCAGTACTTGGTTCTAGGGTGTTTGGTCTTTGTTTTTAACTCTGTTGTCCTCCTGAAGTCTCCCCTCATCTCCCCACTACCCTCACCCCACCTTTGCTCCAGGAACCTGTGATTATGAAACCATGATTTATCAGGGAAAAACCTGTTAGATTTTTACCTACAGCAGCTGGAAATTCCAGCAGCATTCCGGATGACATCCCGGTACTATGTGGCATGTTGTTTCATGTTGGAAGACAGTAGAGCCTTGCTCAGAGGCTCCAGCTTCCTCAGAGGCTCAGGGAGATGTGGGTGCATGGCTATAAGGGAATGGAAAATGGAAAGGGGGTGTAGGCTATATAAAGGGGGAAAAGGCTGT